ACCCTCTTCTCTGACCTCAGTACTACCATCACTGTCCACACCCAGCACTATACTATACTGTGGGATAATAAATTATTTGCACACAGACAAGGAAGAGAAGTATTGCATGGGAGGTGAATTTGGTTATGATGTTAGTTGCTTTTAGATTTTTTTTCACAAACGAGAGGTCCATGGAAAGAAGCTCAATGTGCCTTAGCCAGTAGCTTGATTAATGGTAAAGACTTTCTAAATCTCAGGGATCAATGCTTTTTTTTTTTTTCCCTCTCCCAAACATTGTCACAATAAACTTTTGTTTTTCAGGCATTTGGCAAGTTTTCCACCATTTCCCTTTATACCTTTCCTAAAATGGATTATTTTTTGTATTTAACTCTAAGCTCTAAGGACACATGGTCCAGAAAACAAAACTTTTTTTTCCAGACAAATTCTAATGGCCATTTTTATCCTGAGGTTTTTGCCAAATTGTTAAAGCTTATAAAAGAGTGCAAATAAAATTTAAAGGCATTAGCTCCATTTGTAAGCAGATTTTACAGTATGTAATAGTATCTGAAGATATTTTTTGGAGAAATCATTGGTTTTAATTAATCTAGCAAACCAAAATAACTTTATATAAATAATGAAATAAAATATTTGTTACTAATATATATTTAATTATACTATAAAGTTACCTTACTAATAGAATTATATACTATAAACTTTAGGTCTATAAAATTCATTGGAAGAATAGGTTCTGAATATGAGCTTAGGACACTGGCAGACAATTTATTCATTTACTCAGTGGTCATCTAGCAACTCAGTCAATACTTCTCTCTTGACTATCTAGTCATTTCTTAGGAAGTTTTAAAATATTGGACAATAAAATATCAATTTCTCAGAAACCTATTCTCTTCCATGATGCCCACTTTTCTAGTACAGCATGGCATACTTCGAGCCAACACATATTTCTTATTAAATAGATGAAATAGTAAGTCTCCCAGGCCTTACAGATATTCCCACAAAATACAGTCTATTTGCATATATTATTGGCCACATGTACATGGCCTGGTAATACCAGAAGGGAACTCTGCCAGGAATGCATTTTTAGATGTGTTTTTAGTGAGAGAGGTGCTACCACCAGCATTAATGTATAATAAATGAAAACCCCAGACTCCCAGGAGGATAAATCACCCAAAAAGGTCATGAGCTAAGAGGATAATATCAGAAGAATAGCCTTGATTATCTGGGAACTCTTAGTGTTGGCAGGATTCAAAAAGTAAGCTGCCTTTGAGATGTCTACTCATGAAGCAGGTGCAGTGGAAGAGTTAAAGAAGTCAGAGCTGACCCAGTGTACCTGGTTCACCTAGCATCACAAGAAACTGTAAGGCAGGGTGGAACACCCATAGCCAGGCCTGTAACTATGCAGTGGGATCTGCACCTCTGAAGAATCATGGTAGTATGCACCTCAGTAACAATACAGTCCCAACAAACAGGGTAGAAAGTAACAGAAGAGCCTAGAGACCAGGCCCTGGTTTCTACCATAGCCTCCAGAGGAAAAGGCTGATCTCCTTACTCCCCACCTCCATAGTACACTGTAAGCACAGAGATTTTAGAGCAAGTTAGGAGGCGATGGGACAGACCAAAATATTAAATTTCATCCCAATAAAGCAATAGAGGATCAACTGAGAAAAAATAAAATAAATTAATAAATAATAATAAACTTAATCATACTTGAAGCCTGAGTTTAATAATAATTCATGCTGATTGTATATGTGACATATCTGTTTGTGTGTACTTTTAGCCATTAAAGTACAATATGTTCATGTTTTTAATTTGGACTAAAAATCCTTCCTTTTTTGGTATGCAAAACAACTTTTCAAGGATAAAAGTATTTTTAAAAAAATAGGCTGATTTATATCCCAGATGCAAGCATCATCTTTTCTGGCTCCTGGTTACTTTTTGTTGCTATAACCTTCTCCCATGGGAATTCATGGAGAATTGACRGCAAATCCCAGAATGTATCAGAATGTTCCTAACAAGGATTAACTGGTTTTTCTATCTCCTCTTACTTTCATACAGTCCCAACAAACAGACTTTGTGGTCTTTACAGTAAAAAAAGTATCTGGCAAAAGTCCCTGCCTAATATAAACTCTTCCCCAATAATCCTTCATTTGTAGGTGCACAGTGGTTCTTTTAATAATAGCTCATATAATTTTATCTCATCAAGTTAGAAAAGGCCTTTGGGAGGATGTTAGTTTAAATTTGTTCTATAAAAATGCTAGTTTTGAGGGCTGGGGTTGTGGATCAGCGGTAGAGCACTTACCTAGCAAGTGCGAGGCCCTGTGTTTGATCCTCAGCACCACACAAAAATAAATAAATAAATAAAAATAAAGGTATTGTGGGTCCAACTACAACTAAAAAATACATATTAAAAATTGCTAGTTTTGATATTGGAAGTAGGGAAAGGCAATATATAAATGCCTAAGTGTTACATACTTAAGAATATACTTGTATATATGAATGCAGATAAGCAACCTTACACATGATTTATTCTGATTCTTGTAAATGATTTATCAGATGAGAAATCAAAGAATATCTAATAAACATGACAAGGTAACTGATACCTTGCCTCCCATCAAAATACAATAAAACTAGCTATAAAAAAAAACTTTAAGGCAACTGTTTTCAAGCAATGGACAAGTAATATAGAATAAGTCTTAAAGTAAAGGAACACAAGAGGTGAGCCCTGTTTGCCGAGGGGCACAGGGAAGTGGAACCCAAACAAGACTGCAGGAAAGTGGAACCAAAACTACAGTCTCACAAAGCAAAAGCAAGACTATTTGTCTTCACATTCCCACAGCCTATCTTTACTAACCACAAAGCCTATGGATCTCAAGAACAGAATCTGCGACTGGAATATTCAAGTTTAGGGAAGCCTCCTCTGCCCTCTCCTTGCTTTGTCTTTTACTGTTTGTCTCCCATTCCACATGGCTATTTCCAGCACCTCATAGGATTACACAATACTGTGCAGTATCCCAGAGAGAAAGACAAATTGATTTAACATTTTGGGGATGTACACATATCCCCTAACTCATTCAAATCACAAAAGTTATAATGACTTTATAATGAGATGTATAAGTGATTCAAATAAGTAGTAGCGCCAAGTCCACTGCTATTCATGGTGGTCCAGGAAGAAAAATACAATCATGCTCAATCAAAAGTTCCTATTCAAAACAATAGGAAAAAAACTAGGAAAATAAGATAAAAAATATGACTCAACTTTCTTATATAACAAGTGAAATATAAATAAAAAATTATATGAAAGAATCGGGGAACATACACTGTTCACTGGTTTTTAGGAGGTTATTAGGAGGCAGTCAGTGATATCAGAAGTACATGCTTAACCTCTGAGAACACATAATGGAAGGAAATGACCGCATTCTACACAAAATGATCTTATATTACAGGAAAAGACAAAATAATAGAACACACAGAACAAAATTGTATGTTTGTATGTTCTTTAAATGTATGTAAAAAGGGGTTTGCAGCTGAAGCATTATATCTGTGCATCTTGATTCTATAAAATCTGAATACATAAACTTAATGAAAGCTAGAATGATGAAATAGCATCAAGTAAGATTATATATAATACACCCTAAAGACTGTATTTCTGTATGGAATTGAATTTTGTTTTGCTTTAACTATAGTTGGAAAAAATAAGGCACTTATTATATGAGGCTTAAAAACTGTTTTTTAAAGCCAAGTCACTGTTCTACTAATATCATTTTTGCAAACAGTACCTGGACCTATATATTAAGGCAAATGTAGAAAGTTAAAACTTAAATTAAATTCTAAGACTCAAATTTAAATTGTCCTAATAAATTCTAGTATGACACCTAATTAAATCAAAGTTGATGTATATCATATCACCACTTCACTAGAAAATAAGACAAAAACAAAAACAAAATACAGTTACTAAGCTCTCATTTAGAATGTTTGTACTGAAAAAAACTTTAGGAGTCTTTTTTTTTTTAAAATCACAAAGAAATATCACAGACTTCTTCATTCATGGATTTAACCTTAAGTTTTTATTCTCACCTAACGTCAAGTTCTATGACAGGTAGTAATTTGTAATTTTGTTTGAGTCACACATTTCACTGTATACACTTAAAGGCTGGTTGGTGTTTCTAAAAGAATAACTAAGTAAAAATAATTCCTTCCAATGTGACATTTGTATCTTTTTCAGCTCATCCTTGAATATATGATAACTTTCATGTAATACCTGAAGCACAAGTTTTTTTTTTTAATTCTTAAATCATACTCCATCTTTTTTGTTTTTTTAGATGGGAAATAATATATGACAGTAGAATTTGAAAATGTGCACCTCCACAAAGAAAGGTCCCTGAAATGCCCTTCACAAAAAGGTCAAGAGGTTTAATGTAACTTTCAAGGGAATACAGGGTTTTAGAACTATCTGCCTGTCATCAGAATCTAAAGAGATATTCAGCAGGCAGAATTGACAATTCTAGACTCAAATTTAAATTATCCTAATAAATTCTAGTATGACAATTAAATCAAAGTTGATGTATATCATATAACTACTCACTAGAGAATAAGACAAAAACAAAAACAAAATACAATACACTCTATTTGCCTTTTATATACTAATATGATTATACCATACTCAGTTTACCAAAATTCTCTTAAAGTGAAATTCAGAACTGAAATAGCTCTCTGTACAAATAGTTTGCTAGAGCAGAGACTGGAAGAAGCATTGTTTGCAATATACAACTGTAGTAACTGTAGCCCTATCTTGTTAAGTGCTACCTTCTTGTATCTGAGTCTAGAGAAAGACTCTGAGTCATTTCACCCACATACCTTGGTTTCATCTTCAAACAAATGAACAATCAAATACTTGCAAATACATTTATATCCATAGCCCACTGCCCAGACATACAGAGAAAAACATGAATAAAAATGGATTTATAAAACACAAGAAACTATTATACACTGTAGGCTATGATTACCTGGAGGTAGGAATTGCAGTTGATTATTAGCTAATCGAAGATGACGTAAAGCTCTCAGACGACCAATTTCTGGGCAAACAATTTCTAAGGCATTGTCACTAAGATCCAGATACTGGAGTTTTACAAGGGACCCAATAGCTTCAAATAGAAGAGAAGGGGAAAAGCAAAGTGAGTTTGACTCAAGTTTTATAGCAAATCTTTAATGAATGTGTTTCAATCTAAAATATTTTAATGCTTAATACCCCTTCCCCCTGTCACAGTTGTTCACAAAATAGTAAAAAATCATACTAATTTTTATGTAAATGATAAGTATTTCTACCTAGAGATAAAATATAATGTTTAAAAAGAAAGCAAATAAAAACATTAAAAAAGTATAAAAAACTGCTTAAATAAATGATTCAAAAATTAATAAACAAAAGTAATCTAACCAAAATTCTTAACCTGATTTATTAGGTTTAGAATTCACCTTATTTTTAACCTATTAGCAACTTATCTCATAATGATTTACTTAAGCATTTTAACAATTTTAGACTTTTAATTTATTTAATCATAATTCTTAACTGGTCTTTTTAGAGGAAAAATTTTTGAAACTAATACATTAAAGTGCTTTATAATTAAAATTCTCTAATACACCAAACAAGATAAGCTTAAAGAGATAATCTGTTCTACTTATAAAGCAAAGCTTTAACTGTATCATCTTCTAACTAAAAATTCTAGGTGTGCTTACCTTCTGGAACCACTACTATGTTATTTGAGTGAAGGTACCTGGGGCAAAAAGGAGAAAAAAAGAAAGAAAAATAGTGTTATTATTCAGTAATTTTGCCAGGTAAACAGTTAATAAAAGGCTCACTAGAGATTTATYAAATGTAAATGAGCCAAAACTTACTTTCTCACCCTACTCTAATGTGTCACCACAAAATACATTTTTATCACAGYCAATCAATTATACTTTGAGTGTAATGTTATGCTAGAATTGCATATTAAATGCATGTACTGATTTAATTATTTTAAAATAAAAACTTGAGTAATAAATTATTTCCAACCTCATAAAACAAATTATTAGTTTCTCTAGTTCACCTTAAGTTATTCAGATTTTCAAAAATATGTAAAAAAATTCAACCTTCTATTATTCAAGGGAGACACAACTTTTAGTTTCTAAAGGATAACATCGGAAGACAAAGATATTTCTAGCTCACATGCTGAGAAACAAGAATAGAGATTAAATATTCATCATTTAAAGTATCCACAGAAATACTCAATTGTCAAGGCCAGAATTTACTACATGGCAAAAGGAATTTCAAAAACAAGAAATCAAATTCTTCTTTAAAAAAAAAAAAAAAAAAAAAAAATGCCCAGACTTAACAAGTCTCAGCAATGAAATATCTTTAGCGCACTCTAGTGGAGACTCAAGCAACCAGCAGTAACCAGCTACTGAGAACAAAACAGTGACTGCTAGAAATTAAGAACTAATAACTTAAAAAAATAAATTTACAACTAGATTTTATAAACTTTACGCTCAGCCCTATCATTTTATTTACTGTACTTTAAAAATAAATCCTCATAAAGTATTATAAAATAGAATTTAAATTTTTCTTCTACATTTTGAAAGCCTAAAATTAAATGCTAAAAATGTCAATGAAATAGAATAATAATACTTTTCTGAATATTATTCTATGTTGGATTAAATCAACTGTAGACAGTATTAACCCACTAAGTCTAACACAATTTAAGCAAGTATGCTGTTCTATGATAAATTTCATTCCTTGCTTTATGTACATGAATTGATTATACATTCTATCTACACTGAGCTACATCTCTAGTCTTTAAAGTTCTTTTTTTATAGGTAGAGTTGAGACAAGTCATTTGTTGAAACAAGTTTTTCAGAGGAGTTTTCTGTTCTTACTAGGAACTCTGGCATTTATGAAACAAATGCAAGTGTGTATATTTTTGGCATTGTGTATGCACACTTATTCAGTCTTTGGACACAAAGAATTCTTAAAGTCATCTGATAAAGTAATTAGGAATTCCTTTCTGAAATCAATGTTTCAAGAAAACACAGAACAAGCCATATTGAAAGAAGCAAACAAAACTACCAATAAAGCATGCCAGAAAAAAAGCAAAACAAAAAAAGAATATAAAATCTATATACCCAATAATGTAAAATTCATAAAACCCACTACCCAATCAAAAAGTATTAGATGTGACAAGAATTAGGAAAATGTGACCCAAAATCAGAGGAAAAATAGTCAATACAAATAGGCCCAGTGTGACAAATTATAAAATTAGAAAACAAGGACAGTAAAATAGCTATAATTACCATATTCAGGTAAATGAAAACATGACATAGTGAGAATTGTAAGATATAAAGAAGAAATAAATAGAACTTCTAGAGATTAAAAATATAATAAAGTAAAAACATCACTGGGTGGATTAACTGAAAAAAAATATGACTGACCCTGATATCAGAAAAATGCGATTTGTTCCAGTACACAGAAAGACAAAAATAAAAAAACACTCACAGTCTTAGAGAGAATGGAATATATTCAAAAGTTAATAAATATGTAATAGTCCCATAAATGGAGCAAAAAAATGGGTTTAGAACTAAATATCTAAAGAATTGATGTGAAAAAATGATGAAAACTATGAAGATACAAACTCAAAAATCACAATGAACCTAAAGGATAAGGAAAATAAAAACCACAAAATACATCAAAATTAAATGCCTGGAAAGCTAGTATAAAAAAAATAAAAACTCTTCAAAATAGCCCAAGGGGGAAGGGAGACACATTAAACTCAAAGGAACAAATACAAGAACAGTAGATATCTCCTCAGAAACTTTGCAAGCTAGAGGATAATGGAATGGAAGGTTTACAAAGGTTAGTAGAGGTAGCACAGAAGTGCTAAAATAAACAAAACAGTAACCTGGCAACTAAGAAGTCTAATCCTAAAAGACACATATTTAAAAAATATAGAAGATGAATATACAACAAAAGAATGTAAGACTTTTACAGGGAAACGGAAAAATCATTAAGACTTAGAGATAGATGAAGAATTCTTACATTGACACCAAAAGCATGATACACAAAAGCAAAAACTGATAAACTGGACTTCATCAAAATGTAAAATATTTACTACACAAAAGAAAATAAAAGAAGATGGAAAGACAAGCTATATACTGGAAGAAATATTTGTAAACAAAATACAAAAAAAAACTTAATTTTTAGACTATAGAGAGAACATTTCAAACTCAAGAATAAAAAATAAAATTAAAGCAACCAATGCAGATACTTCACCAAAGATACCAATGTTGAATAAATATATGAAAAGATGTCAATATCATTGGCCAATAGAGAAATACAAATGAAAACCACAATGTGATAAATCACACATCTATTGAAATTACTTAAAATGAAAAATAGTAATAATACCAAAAGATGGTGAAATGTGCAGACAATGGAACAATCTTACATTGTTAGGGGAAATGTAAAATGGCACAGCTAAGCTGGAAAATTTGGGGGCAATTCTTGTAATACTAAAAACTGAGCAAAAGTGGCAGAGAAAAAAACCTCCAAAAATTATCTTTTCCATAAAACCAATGAGAATACTCGCAAAATGTTTTAGAAGTTATATATACAGGGATGTGGAAATGAACCCAAGACTTGTGGTAATATAGAGCTAACATGTACGTAAGGGGGAAAAATGACAAGAATGTCTATAAGAATAGTGGGCCATGAGCTTTGTAGTGTTTTCACTAACAATATTCCTTTCTCCCATTCTCCAGCTCTGCAGAAACCTGGAAAACCAAGAGTCCACAACTAAATTGAATAGTAGTGCCCTGGGCTAGAACCAAATTGGAGCCCTTTTAAAGTCTCATTCCCTGGAAACTGTCATTATTCAACTTGTTTTAGGGTTCCCCAGAAGACTCTACTTATAAAGCTGTCTATTTATCTTACAAGGAACTAGCCTTGAACAAAATCCCTACCTCAAGTGTTGTAAATTGAAATAAATGACAGATGATTATTTAACTTTACAGATGCCTGAGGCAGTAAGTACCAGATGAAACAAATAATAGACAAACCAAAACCTTTAAAAAGAAAAGCTATCCAGAGGAGCTTTTAAAAGTCTGGCTATTCCTGGGAATCTAGAAAATCACAGGCATACGTGGAGTTGTACACAGGCCATAGCTCTACAAATGCTCAGGTAGGAACTGTTGAGGTCTTACTCTTTTACCTCAGCTGAATTCGAAGTGAAGGCAACAAGTGAAGAGTTGTCTGCTATCAACTGCAGACAACTGAAAGGTGAATGCATGTCACAACACTCATACAAAGTCCCTCAGTAAAGACAAGTGGACTTAAGAGATTCAGTCAGTTAAGGAGTCTCTGCCTAATCATTAGCTGACCACTAATGGTCTTAGAATAGGTCTTCTTAGAATAGGCCTAGAGTAATTTCAAATTAGTTGTCAGTGATTAGAAAGAGGCCACTAAGATTACTGACCAAATATTTAAAAGGGCGGGGGGATAAAAGGAGAGAACTCTTGCCAACTCATTCTATGAGGCCAATAACACAGTGATACCAAATCCAGGCAGAGATATCATTTAAAAAAAAAAAAAAGACTACAGAGGAATATATTCCTTATAAAGACAGCTTCAGAATTCCACAACAAAATACTAACAAACCAGAACGCATAAATTAATGCATAAAAGTTAATTCCACAACAAAAAACTACCAAATCCAGAACGCATAAAAGGGATTATACTCCAAGACCAAATGGGATTTGCCCCAACAATACAAGGTTGGTTCAATGCACAAGTTGAAAGGGTAAAGTTTCTAAGCTGCAAAGCCTGAGTTAAAATGTAAAGGACCAGGCATTGTAAACCTGCTTCTAAACTGCAAAGTATGGGTTAAATTCCTGAGGCAGCTAAGACAAGGCCCTACTGGGAATTTAGTTGATTTATGGCCTGGGGTCCTGTGTAACTCCTCAGGTAAGCATTCAAGACCCTGTGCTGCTTGTCAYGTAGACATTCAGGGCCCAAACCAATCAGTTTAAATGTAGCCCCCTCCTTAGGAATGACCTATCACTCCAGCCAACCTGTTCCCGCCAATGAATGTACTAATCAAGTCTAAGAATCATTGTTTGATTTTCCTGCAGTGTATGGCGATTTGTTAAAGGAGACTATGATGTATGCAAAGCCCCCGCCCTCCCCAAAAAGTGTACTTAAGCATTGTTCAACCCCTGCTCTGAGCTCTGGGCTGCTCTCCTTTCCTGAGTGGGCACGGAGCCTCAGCATGCTGAATCAATAAATCCCCTTTTGCCAATTGCATGAGTGGTCTCTTGGTGGTCTCTTTCTCCGATGCTTCGCCAGACCCTTACAAAGTATTGATCAATATAATATGCCATATTAGTAGAATAAAGAATAAAAACTACATGATCATCTCAATAGATGAGGGAGAAAGAAAAAACCAAACTACAAAGTCAAACATCCTTTTAAGTTAAAAAATAATAAGAAGGGAACTTTCTTAACTTTAGAATACCTATGAAAAACAGTTAATATTACACTTAATGGGAACAAAACAAAAAAACCAAAAACATGAAAGATTTTCTCTGAGATCAAAGTACCTGCTCTCCTCATTTCTTTTCAACATTCTAAGTTCTAGCCAGGGCAATTAATCAATAAAATAAAAAGGCATATACAGATTGGAAAGGAAGAAGTAAAGATACCTTTATTGGCAAAAAAACCCCATGATCTTTGTAAACAAAAATCCTAAAAAACAGACACACACACACACACACAATTAGAATTAATAAATGAATTCAACAAGGTTGCAGAACATAAGATTAACTTACAAAATTCTGTTGTACATTTTTATATATCAGGCAATGAACAATTCTAAATTGTAATTAAAAAGAAAATTCCATTTACAATAGCATCACAAAGAATACATACATGGAATAACTGATAATCAGTTTCTTTCAGGATAATGAAAATGTTCTGGAATTACACAATAGTAATGGTTGCACAACCTTGTGAATACAAATCACTGAAGTCATATACTTTAAAAGGGTGAACTGTATCTCAATAAAAAGAAATGAAATATGCAATTACCACATGACTCAGCAATTACAATCTTATCCATTTAACCCAGAGAAATTAAAACTCATTTACAAAACAGCAAGTACACAAATGTTCACAGCAGCTTTATTCACAATAGCCTCAAACTGCAAAAATGTCTTTCAATGGGTGAAGATATCATATTCATATCATGAAATATAACTCAGCAATAAAAAGGAATAAATTGTTAACATATGTAGCAACTTGGATGAATCCCTTATGCTGAATGAAAAAAAAAAGTTAATCCCCAAAGATTATATACTGTCTAATTCCATTTATATAACATTCTTAAAATGAAAAAATCATAGGGAGATGGAGAATAGATTAAATGTCTGCCAGGGTAGGTTTTTTGGGGGGATGGGGGTGGGAGGATGTTTGATTCTGAAAGTATAGCTCAAGTGATCCTAACACTGATAAAAGTATTCTCTACCTTGACTATCAGAATGATTACACAAATATATACTGATAAAGGTGGTAAAAATAAACATCAAGAAAACTCCACATAATTAAATATACACTCACAAATGAGTACATGAAAAACTGATGAAACAGAATAAAGTGGTGGATTGTACCAATGTCAATTTCCTGGTAGTGATCTTGTACTACAGTAAGGCAATAAGATAATAACATAGGGGAAAAGTGGAAGAGTACAGAATGTTTCTGTATTATTTCTTACAACTACATGTAAACCTACCATCATCTTACAGTAAAACTTAAAAAAAAAAAAAAGGAAATAAAGACTTTTTTCAAGCAAGCCAAATCTGAGAGAATAATATAGGAGTAAATACATGACTTTTTCACTTTAATTTCCTTAAACTGATTATTTAAATTAAAAATTATAATAATGTGTTTTACCAGTTATCAGTTTACTATCTCTCAAGTCCTGATTTAACTTCTTTGCTGTCTTTTTTGATCCTAGCGCTGAATTTGTCAACACTTCTCCTTTGCCAATTAGACTAATGTCAGGCTTTCTCAAAAGAGGAGGCTAAAGTGACTCCACAAGTCAAGCAAGAAGTCACCCCCGTTCTAGCTCCCCTCCCATTTTTAATTTAGGACAAAAGCCAGATCCAAGTGGTGCTCCCCTCCCCTGTTAGACAACCTCAAGTCACATGTTCAAATTATGCTCTCTCCACCTAAAAGCCATTTTTGCAGCAGTTCTGGTGCAGCCTCAGGCCACTGCCACTCTGAGGCTCCTTCTGTAGTAGCTCTGCCACACTCTCTGCCAGCCTGCTACTACAGACCAGTTCCAGACTGTCAACATCTTCCTGCAACAGTGAGCCATTATAACAGACCAGGTCTGGTTTAAGCCATCTGCTGAGTCTCTTCCCCAACAGCAGGCTGTTGTTCTTGAGGCAGCCCTACCATCTATAAAGAGCTCTTAATTCTTAACCTGGGGGTTACTGCTCTCCTAACAGTCTTTATTACTTCTGTCTACCCCTCAGCCCAGAGGCAGTAGCTGCTTATTTGTAATAAATCCAGTCTCCACAGAGTCTTCCTTAACTTTCTTTAGTACTTAATAACATTTTGCTACTTTAAAATATCTTTATATTGATTTTCCTTATTTAAATTAGGGGTGTGGTTTCTGTCTCCTAACTGGACCCTGACTAACACACACACACACACACAAATACACACACACACATACAACAGCACAAAGAATGGGAAAAATTCTTCTGGAAGTACTAACATAAACATCCATATATTACATTTGCTTGTAAAGTGGTAATGATATCACATGAAGACAGATTATGTTAGGAAATAGATGTATATCATAAACTTTACAACAATGAAATGAGGTAGAGTTAATGGGCCAATATTGGTACTAAGATGGAATCCTAAACACTAGAATAATTAAAACAAAGGAAAGAAAGGAGGGGAAAAATAACAAAAGACAGGTGGAACAAATAGTAAATAAGATGGTAGACTTAAAACTTAATCAAATCAACAATCACATTAAATGTAAAAGGTCTAAACATGGCATAAAAAGGCCTGGATTATCGAACTGTGCAAAAATGAAAGAACCAACTAGAGTTGATTTTAAAAACTCCACTTTAATTATAAAGAAACAGGTTAAAATAAAAGAATGTGAGTTTCAATTCCAGTATAGCAGAATAAGCTCCCACTGGACTGATATTCTGTCAGGTAATAACTAAAACACAAAGGATAACACACACACACACACACACACACACACACACACACACACCACAATCCTAAGGCACTGTATAGTAAACAAAAACAAGCCAATTCTAGAGGAAAATCAAAACTTAAATGCTAGAATAGTACTGGGAGAGTTTAAGTTCTTTCTTTTCTTTCTCCCCACCCCTATTTTTTTAAAGAGCATTTAGTCTAGGGAGGGTATAGTTATCATGCAAAATGGCTAAAGGCATATCTAGAAACTGCTGGAAACCAAGGGAAAAAAAATCTTGAAAGCAGCCAGAAAAAAAAATTTTAAAAGACATTATATATATGTGTGTGTGTGTGTGTGTGTGTGTGTGTGTGTGTGTGTGTGGAGAGGGAAGGATTAGATATACTACTATCATCTCATGAGAATCTAAAAAACAGTCAAAATACTTTTAAAGAACTCAAAGAAAAGTACTGTTGAGCTAAAATTTGACAGTCATTGTATATATAACAGCTTGAGATATAATGTTCCAATCTTCCTATTCATGATTGTTTCACCTTATTGTGTGTAAGATCCATGAGGATTTTTCTTTAAAGTCTGAAAAAGTCTTTAACAAATTTCCACAGTCATTACAAGTAAAATTCTTTGCTAGGAATTAATAGTTGGTAGGCAGCTCAAAGATAGCCTAAGTTGATCTCTACTAGCTGGCATTCAAGTCCTATGCAACAGCCTCTACTCAAGTGTGGGGCAGACCCAATAACTCACTTCTCCTGGACAACATAAGAAGAGTGATGAAATGTCACATCCAAAATTAGTCAGAAAGAGATTATTGCTTCCGTCTTCCATTCTCTCTCTTGCCCTTTTGCTTGCCTGCTCTAATGGAAACTAGTTGCAAGGCTGTAAACTATGGAGAGGACAAGTGGTAAGGAACTGAGATCTTCCTCTGACCAATCAACAATCAGTAAGAAACTGAGTCCTTCAGTCCAGTAGTCTCCAAGGAATTGAATCCTGGCAACAACCTCCAGAGTGAAAGCAGAAAAGGATCCTTCTTCAGATGAGAACACAGCCCTGGCCAACAATTTTGACTGAAGCCTTGTGGGAGACCTTAAAGCAAATGCATCCAGCTATGCTTAGGCTCAGATTTTAGAGTTTCAKAAAATACAAGATAATAAATGTTTATTCTTTGAAGGCACTATTTGTGGAGATAATTTGTTAAGCAGCAATAGATAATACAGGTAGATAGATACTGGCTTAACACTACCAAAAATCATACCAAATAAAGAAGAGAACAAGAAAAGGAAATGCAAACCCTCCTACATCAAGTAAGAAGATAGTTAGAAAGAAAAAAAATAGAAGATCTAAGTTTATCTTCCTTAATATAATAAGTTAGCTGATACTTAAAGTTGATGCATTAGAAAACAAAGGTGTAAACATGTTATTTGGCATTATGGAGTTAACTATCAAAAGAACTAAAACTAATGAAGTGTGGGAAAGAGACCTTCAATGTCTATTTTAAACATTTCATACATCCAATGCTTATATCAATTACCACATATAGTAGTAGTAATAATAGATTTTTCCAATTACATGGGCTATCCATAAGGATTCTGTTCCAATATATTGTATCCAGAAAAAGAAAAATGTATCATTCATCACCTTCACTTCCTGAGGTAAGATATTTAAAACACAACTTTAAATTGTAAAAAATAATTCAAAATACTATTTGGCCTAGCAGAACCACAGGTTTACCTATAGGAGCATCATGATAATGATATTAAAAAATAGCAAATTAATACATTAAAATGATATATCCTCTTAACTCAAATGACTTAAAATTATTTCCATTTGTTTTTTTAAAAAATTTGAGTAAACAGACTCACAGTTCCACAAGGTTTGGAAGCTTCTGAGCAAGGTTTTCTGGCTGAAAATTAAAAACTTAGAATTAAATTTTATTTTTGAAAAATGCATAAACATTTGTAATTAGTTTAAACACAAAGTACCAACTTGTTGAGGGGTGTAAACTTGGAGAGAATTTGAAAAATAATAAATCAGCAGGTCTGGGTTTCATGCTTACATAGACCATAATACAATTTATAAACTTGAACACTTAAAAATCAATGTCCTTTAGAGAAACCAGAACCTCACATCCCATGGTCATGGAAGAAACAAAAATGTGCTTAAGAGACACAGACAGAAGGAAGAACACCATGTGATAGCAGCCAGAAACTGGAATGATGCAGCTTAAGCCAGGAGCCAAAGATGGCAGTCTGCCCCTGAGGCTGGGAGAAAGGCATGGAATAGATTCTCCCTCAGAGTCCCTGTGCCCAAAACAAGTGTTACCTCTACTTATCATGCCTTTGTCATGGCAGCCTGGGAAAGTACTGTACCACTCAAACTCCCAAGTCATGCCCCAAAAGAAAAAGAAAGAAGAATTTCCAGGGTCCCCAGGTACTAAGACCAAACAAGGCTCAGAATGAACAGAGGGAAGCTCACGTAGTCCAACAGAATGTAAGACCTGACCATAGGTCCTGAGATCAGAGAGGAGGTGAGGTGTGGTATGGCAGGGAGAGGAAAGTGGCCATCAGGAGAAGTGCCTTTCCCTGGCAAGAATCCTAGAACAATGCCACTCAAAGGTTAAGAGCAGGCTTCTCTCTGCTGGAAGCTGTGGGTAACGGGGAAGGCTGAAAGCTAGCCTCCACACAGGAGTGCGTGTCAGTGTGAGAGCGCCCCAGACACACACAGTTCAAATCTGTATGCACACGGAGATCTAAGATACAAATTGTTAAGATTGAAGGAGCACACAAAGTCAAGAAAAAAATTTGTTTTCATTCTACATTCAAACATAACTATAGCTATCAATGACAAAGAATCAGGAATGTCCTTTTAGAAGAAATTAGATCTGACTTGAATTCTGAAAGATAAATGAAAATTATAACAGGCTGATAAAAAGTGGAGAGGAGTGTAGTTCTGGCTACCCTTCTAAGCATAGGAGGTAACAGGAAAAAGGGGTCTTCAGAGAAGGTTCATTTAGGAAATTATAGGTATAATCTTTTCTGTTGTAACTCCATGATAGCAGTCCTAAAGAAATAAAAATTTTTCAAAAATCCTAGTACAAATCAATCATGTCAGTAGAAAACCTGGTCCCCACTTGTAAGGGGGACTAGAAAGCTTTACATTTGTAATTACAAAATAATTTTTCATACAGAAACTTAGTAACAGTGATTATCATCAGGAAAAGGACTAGGATTGCTATTCTCTATCTCCTTATTTCAATTTTTAACAATAAACAGAAAAATTTAAAAGAATAAATTAAGCAGGAACGTTAAAAAAGCTAAAATTAAATTTTAATGTGCATGCACAATATAAACTGTTAACTATTTGCCTAATTAACCATACTGTGCACAATTTGAGATCTAAACACTCAACAGTTCAAATCTCATTAGTTTACAGTATTTTAGTCATTGGATATGAAGATGCATAATGGTTTTGCAGAGAATGGCAAGGAATGGATTATTAAGGGCTAGTATTTTATACTAAGGAACAACTTTCTTAATCCTAAATACCATGGAAATGCACTGGTTTATTTTAGACAAAGCAATGATACTGTTCATTTCATAGTGGCATACAGATGTATTTACCAATAGTATCCCAAGCTACTTACATACTTCCTTGCCCTTTTCTGATAAGAAAATCTCACTTAATATGAATGTTCTTATGAAGTATTTATGGGGCATCCACTCTTGACAGAATCACTTTAGTTTTAAAATGATGTAAGCTGTGGGGTTGGGGTTGTGGCTCAGTGGTAGAGCACTTGCCTAGCATGTGTAAAGAACTGGGTTCAATTCTCAGCACATAAATAAAATAAAGGCCCATTGACAACTAAAAAATATTTAAAAAAATAAAATGATGTAAGCTGTGATTCTTTTTCGTCCCATGTTTTGATATTAACACATGTAATAAAGTCCTTCAAAACATCTTTCCTCAGATGTTATGAATTTCTCCAAAATCCCTGGAATGTTTCTTTTAATATTTGTATTTCTTCTAGTAAGGAAAATATACACTTTTATTTATGGGCTTCCATACAAAGTATCCTAGGAAAACTAGAGAAATATTGGGGGAAGGAGCTAAATATAACTACTCCTATAAAAAGAAAGACTTGGGCACAAAAGAAATGCTGTTAGACCCTCACCTAGTTTCATCTGCTACAATACAATATCAATATTGTATCTGGCTAACACACCACTCCCAATCATTCTTTCTGGATGCCTATTTGGTTTCATCGGATAGCATTCTGATATGTCCAAAATAAACTCATTAGGAGTTATAGATGTGTATACACAATTAAGGACTGAAATAATGCTTCTGAAATAACGATGCCAGCAGAGCATCACTATGTCTTTAATAATTAGCACACTGTGTTTTTATTTAAAAATAAGCACAGTGACCTTGAGAAAACTGCAGTTCATTAGAATACTGCCTCTTAAACATACAATAAATAAATTAATCATTTATGAATAGATGTTTTAAAAGCCTGGCAAATGAGCAGCCCATGGCCCAGGCTGTGGTTGACACCTATTGGTGCTCTAAAATATCATTACCTGCTTTCTTAAAAAAAAAAAAAACAACTTTATTTTATTTACACATTTATTTATTTTTATGTGGTGCTGAGGATCAAATCCAGTGCCTCACATGTGCTAGGCAAGCACTCTATCACTAAGCCATAATCCCAGCCCTTATTGTCTACTTTCACATATGCTTTTCTTTTAAAGTAATGTAGTTCAAAAATACATGGGAAATTCCATATACTTTTTAATTTTTATACTTCTATAGTTTAGGTACAGTAAGTAAGAGATTTTGCCACCGTAAGTTCATGTCACAATGTTTGTTGCTGTGCAGGTGACTGAAACCTAATGTTAGGTTATGATTGGCACACAAGCTAGTGCCTCCTAATTCACAAGGTTTATAAGCTATTTGTACATGTTTTTAAATTTAAGATTCTGATAAAAGCAATAATTTTAAAGTATTCTCAAATATGTTCTTATTATTTTTCCTTCTTTTTCACAACTTTGACATAGAACTAAGTTTTAACAAATAACCTGCACTCAAATTCCTGGAGCATAAATATCTTTTACAAAACTACTTGAGGGCTGAGGTAGAATATTTCCCTAGCATGAGTGAGGCACTGGGTTCGATCCTCAGCACTACATAACAATAAAATATATTGTGTCCACCTATAACTAAAAAATAAATGTTAAAGAAAACTATTTGAAAATTGTTTTTCTAAATTAAGCCAAAGATTCTTTTCATTAAATCCCACTAACATTATCACTTAACAAAACAGTTTGTCTTTATAAATAATGCAAAAGTAAACTTTAGCAAGCAGTTAAAATTTACCTCAAATTTTGAATCAATGCTTAACCATATACTTTCAAACTCCCCTTAACTGGGAATGCTTTTGAAATTTTGTATCTTGGAACAGATACTTGCTATACTATGCAAACAACAACATATTTCATGATGTTCTCAGGTAGGCACTGAGCACCACCTACTTCCTGTTCCTCTCTTTAGGAAACCTGGTAGGACTGTACTTCTCTCTTCAAATTGGTAACAGTTAAGTGACTTGCTTTGGTCAGTGAAATTAAGTTCAAGTGAAAGCTTTAAAGAGTTTGAGTGTAAAAGACCTTACCACTGTGATTTCAGATGGCAGAAGCTTTGCCAGGCTTCATCCCCACAGAAGGATACCACAAACCAGAGACAGCAGTGAAGCAGAGACAGCAAACTGAGACAGTATTGAAATAAGCAAGAAATAATTGTGCTGTAATAAGCCACTAGGGCTCCAGGTTCAGCAAAACCTGCTCCATCCTACCTGTAACAGCACATTTCAAAGAAGTTACAAAATAAATGTAATTTGGTTCTTGTAGCATTCAAAAAAAGTAGAATCAAGTAGAATGAATTTGATTGCCTAACTCACATATGCATATACAATAATTAACTCAAAATGGATTAAGAATCTAAATTTAAGAGCTAAAATCATAACTCATAGAATAAAACATAGGAATAAATCCCTTTGATCTTGGATCTGGCAATGAATTCATAGATATTACACCAAAACCATGAGCAACAATAGGAAAAACAGATAAACTGGACTTCATAAAAAATTAAAAACTTTTATATCTTAAAGGACATTACAAGAAGTTAGAAAAAAACCAATAGCAGGGCTGGCGGTAGAGCTTAGTAGTAAAGCACTTGTCTACCATGTGTGAGGCCATGGATTCAATACCATGGCCTGTTTAAAAAAAAAAAAGAAGAAAGAAAGAAAGAATGAATGAAAACCTATAGAATGGGAGAAAACATTTTAAAATCATATGTCTGGCAAGGGTTCAGCATCCAGAATACAAAATAAATTCTTATAACTCAATAACAAAACAAAACCCAACTCAAAAGAAAAAAAATGGGCAAAGGAGGGCTGGGGTTGTGGCTCAGCGGGGCCCTGAGTTCAATCCTCAGCACCACATAAAAATAAATATATATATGTTTTAATGGGCAAAGGATATAAACAGACATTTCTACAAAGAAAATATCACCTATAGCTTGGATCTTAAATGTTCCCCAAAGGTCCACAGGTTAATAGCTTGGTGCCACTGAAGATGGTGGAAGGTTTAAGAGGTGGGGCCTAATGGGAGGTCTTAAGGGCTCTAAGGATACGAGCAGGGATTATGGAAACCTGGTCACCTCCTTGCTCTCTTTGGCTTTCTACTCATGAGGGGAATTTTGTTCTACTATGTACTCCCCACCACTGCTTTTGGTCCAAAAGGAATAGATCTGCTCAATCATGAATYTGAATCTTTAAAACGATGGGCAAAATAAACCTTTTCCCTGTGTAATTTGATTATCTCAGGTATTTGTCATAATGATGGAAAG